GCTTCCTTATATATTTTTTTTATTTTATTACCTACAAATAATGTTGCGTATTTGTGTGCTACCGTTACTGTAGGCCTACATCCCCGAGATTTTACAGTGTGATTTATGTCTTGTCTGTTTATTGTAAACGAAATTATTTTAAGTTGAAAAATAAAAAGAAAATGACATGTTTTTCTGGTTTTTAAATGTTAAAGATGTGCATATTACGGAAATATGTCCAGAGGCAAGAACCACCAAATCGATGGCAACAGCCAAGAAGACAGAATACACTTCAAATGCATTTACACGTCCATCGAAGGAAAACGTGTCGGGAGTCGCTGTTATAACGTCAAGCGTCGTTGTTACAGTCGCTATCATTTTACTGATTTTATTGCTCATCCGACGCAAACAGAGGACAAAACTAGGGTAATATGCCTAATGCAATCACGTTATTATTTTTATTATTACTATTATTAATCTAAAAAATTATTGATGATTATAGTAAGTGTTATATACTATACCAGAATTTAAACCTAAAAATAATACTATGATAAGGGCACATAGAAAAAATTATTAGATTATCACTCTTTAAACTTCAAAAAAATGATAAGTGTGGTGTTTTGTTTTTGTTTTTTTGTTTTTAAAATCGGAACAATAGAATAGGCCTATTGCTTTTTAATTGATGAGAAAGGGGCTGTTTTTTCTTTTGCAAGAATATTATAAATATTGTATAAAAACTGGTTTAATTTCATTGTTTTTTAAAGAAAATGTATTTCCCGACACAAAATTGCATTGTTGAAACACAGGATGCGGCAAAAAAATAAAAAAAGTTTATTCTCCCAGCAATATTTCCCAATTTTTTTACTCGGGCGGGAGTGATAATCTAACAATCTTTTCTATGTGCCCTAACGATAAAAAAAAGATAATAAATAAATGAATAAATAAAAACATGCGCAGATATCCGGTGAACAGCAGTCTGTGCCGTTGGACATGCTTTTCTTTCCTTTGTCATTAGGTAAAGTGTTTGAAGTGTTTGTTTAGCTCTTTCTTTTTCATACTATTTTCTTCTCATGACAAGGTATTTATTGTTTTCAACGTTACACAATAATAAATAACGATACTCTATACATCTTTAAATAAACTATTATGCCAATACTGTAATCACCTGTTGGAAAACTATAAATACATTTATATTATGGACAATAACTATGTTATTAAGGGGACATAACTCTGGTCTTATCGAAGACAACAAAACAAATCACTAGGCCTAAAACCTTACTGTAATTGCAAAACCTTTTTGTGTTTAAACACGTTGGTACTTTACAATTATTCAGAAATGACACACATATAGTTGAATATCAAGACTATGTATCTGAAGATGTACGTCGGTATGCGTTACACACCCCTGCTGCCCAAAACACAATAACAGCCAACGAAGTTGTTTACCAGGATGTAATAAATAATACTGAATACCCTGGTACCGCATTTGAAGTCGCCCACCATGATACTGCAGCTGAAGAAGTGGTATTGTACGATGATACAGCGGTAGAAGTAGTACCGGTATACCAGAATTCAGGTATATTTTTTCAAATGTAGAATAAGAGTTTCAGATAAGGATTTAAACACGAGACTTCGGTTACAGATATTGCTCTAAGAGACACGATTCGCTAAATTGATAGAAGCTATTTTATTCGAACACTTATTTATTCGTTTATTCGAACACTGTATTTACCTTTCTTTGATGATTTATATATATAATTTAACAGTGTTAACGGCTAGAAATCAGCAATAATATAGCTGTCTCTGTTTGTATAGCGCCCTCTACTTTTGGGCCTACCCACCTTATACAAATCCCCAATACTGCTGGGATAGCGGTAAACTTACACAGGTGGCCAACCTAAAATACACCACAGTATTGCAACTTGAAAATATTCTTTTGTGTTTCTTTACCATCCTTCTTTCTTTCTTTCTTTCTTATATTACTTATCCTGGGGGACTGCTCAGGGATAAAATCCTTAGTCCTCTACAGATCCCTTCCTCCGCATTTGATTACCTTCACTGTCACTCTCATCTATTTCTTTTTTAAATCGTTTTGATTTTCTTATCATATTTCACAAAATTCACTTTTGTTGATTTGTTTTCTATAATTCTGTCAATTTTCCCCTTTTTTCGTTTATTTGCTTTTTCTTACTTTATCCATATATGGGTATGATGATGTCATATTAGACCCAAATATGGGCATATCTAATTTATTTGTCGCATAAAATATGTTGTAAGTCAATCGTGATGTCATTACTACAACTCCCAGTGTTATATGCTTATTCTCAACAGTCAACTATTTTTTTCACATTGTGTACTGTCTCTTATACACATCTAGATGTGTATAAGAGACAGCTGTTTACATTCACCAGTAAAATTTTATTTTTATTTTCTCCTCCATCTAGATGTTTTTGACAAAACTATTTTCTAAATAGGAAAACAAACATTTTTTTTAGTTTTTTCCGCATTCCTCTGACGATTTTTAAAAAATAAGTTCGCGAAACAAGGTATATAAATATTCTCGCGTTAGCACAAACATTTGTCTATTTTCTTGAACTTGGTAACTTTTTGGTCATTCCAAATAAGCAGTTTATTAATTTGATGGATGTTGGGCTCATTGGTACTGATCTTTTAATCAAATCAATTAATTCCGACTTATATATTTATTTTAGCTGACTCATGGCCGCAAGTGTTTGACGATTCAGGAGCCCGAAGTGACTGGGGCTGGGGTCATCAATATGACCTCACCGGGATGGTCAACATCATGATGGAAGTTGTGAGTCAACGCCTGGGAATTCCGACGATGGATCACTCAACCGCCACTGTGTTTCAAGCCTAGATTACATCACGTTTACATCAACGCCAATTTTTTGCCATTTGCCATTTTTCCTGAACGTTTTTTTTTTTATAAAAATTTTACTTTAATATTAATTAACTATGTATATTAATACTGGCTATACTGTGTGATGTGTGAGTTTGGGGAAATTGGTGTATTTATGTGTATGTTATATAGGTTATCTAAATACCTCATAGCAATATGAGCTTATGTTGAGTTTAAACATACTAAATAACTGTCTCTTATACACATCTAGATGTGTATAAGAGAATATATATATAGTGATCAATTACATAAGATAAGCTAACATGGCAATGAAAACCAAATCGAAACTATTTTATAAAAACTTTTCGATTTAATAGTAAAATGCATTTTAGATTTCCGTAAATGAATAATTTCAAATAACTGGACATGGCAAAGATTTATGGGTCACTTTTTTGTGGGGTGGGGGGGAGGTTTACAATATTTTATTAGTAATCTGACAATCTGAGTGGTCTAGGGTGTAAGGGACAAATGTTGCCAAAGTGCTGATGGATAAATCATTGTCCTGGACGTTAGACTACAATGTACTGTAGACCTATAATATTTTTGGGTCTAAGACTAATGATTAATTTCTGTAGTGTTGTCTATTTCCTTAATTTGTCCACACTTAGGCATACTTTTTGTAGCTTCTACGGAAGTTCCGTAAATCTAGAAACTAATGTGAAGAGTAAGCCAATGGTTTAGAAAGCGATTATTGCTTATGATGGTATCATCGCGGAAGTTTATTTCTAAGTACTGAGCCTTTGACAATATTAAACTTTGCACATCACCGGGGCATCATTGTGAGTATTTTCTTCACGGTAAAACACCCAGGCCTAATGCTATAGTGACGGAATGCATCAATGGACAAAATATATCCTTGTCCTAGCTTGGAGAATGGCAATAGTGGGAGCAAATTGTCCTACGTAAGTTCATTTTTCAAATGGTGTTTTTTTTTTTTTTTTTTTTTTGGCAGAGCTTAATTTAATTAAAACTGAGTTGAGGATGAAAGCCATGTTGATCTTAGCGTTTGATTTTATCGCACAATTTAAAAATGCATAGAAATGTGTGTTATATAAATAATATACTTTATTTTTACAGTAAAACTAACTTAAGTACGAAGCGTTTAAAATAAGTCTATACAATCTTTAGATGTACATCACATACGTCAATCACTTGCATTTTTGTTTTATTTGATATAACACTGAAAACACTGAAGTCTGAATAGAATAGGATACGAAGCAGTATCGGAATGGGTGAAATGTGTATTGCGGAAGTTAGATCGTGGTGTAAGTCCAACCATGGAAAAACTAATTCCTCCATGGTCTAACAAACTTGTGATGAATGATGCCAAAATGAAGCTTATGCATTTTTCTTCACGCTTTAAACCTGTCAACTGGAGCCCCTCAATTAAGATTAGCGACTAATTCTTTAAACCCTCACCAACACAGGTTGAAAAAGACTCTGCACTTGTAATGTCTAATCAGATACAGAACATCTGTAAAGCTGGGCTTGAATCATTTTGACGCATTTGAAGTATCCGAAAATATGTGGATTCAAAGTCAATCGAAGTTTTGGTCCATGCATTTGATTCTTCGAGGCTGGACTGTTGTAATTTTTTTTCTGTTTGGCTTACCAGCAATGGACGTAATACAAGATTCAACGTCTGCAGAACACCGCCGCCAGTCTAGTCCGTCAATTTCCAACTCGTCATCTCATTACCTCTGTGATGAAGCAAATGCATTGGCTTCCTGGTGTGCAAGGAAAACATTTAAGATACTTTGTTCATTGTCAAAGCATTGCACGACACGTCCCCAAAATTCATTACATAACTCATCCATCTATATGCCCCTAACAGGACCTTGAGATCCTCCTCATAGTCTATTTTAATACACTCCATCCGCCCTTTAACTCAGTTTTATGGAAGTAAGTAATTTATCTGTGCCTCGATTGCACTTTAGAATGACTTATCAACCCAAATTCGACAGTCAACTAACATCAACACATTCAAACAACTAGGCCCTACTACTGATCTGTTTAGTTTATATTTTGCTTAACTCCGCTGATGAGATCAAGGAAGTTACCGTAACAGTTATAAATATCTTGGAATCAGTATCTCTAATGATCTTTGTTGGTCACATCATATTGCGTTTGGTACTCAAAATTGTAACATCGTTCAGATTCGTAAATAATATCCGCTTTGTACCGTAACTCCTGGCACTTTAATTAAATCAGGGCGTCGTAGTAGACGAAATAATCACTCAAAACCTCGCGTAGTCCAATATGCATAACTCGTGCATATCAATCGATCATTTTTTCCATCTGCCATAGCTCAGTGGAATATCCTTCCTAACAACATAATTAATTCTGATCACACAAAAAGTTTTAAAAAGAAATTAATATCATATGTTTCATAAATTGTATCCGGTTTCAAAATTCAAATGTTCTTAATTCTTTCAACAAAATGATGTAATTTAATCTATATCTGTGGGTTTTGATTGTATTGTTGGGAAGGCTTTTTCATCATCATTACAAGTATTACAGTATTATGATAAACTATGTTATGACCCAATGATTGGAATGATCTGTATACAAGGTTTTCTGATTCGATATAACATAAATGGCATAAAACAAATTAGAAACAAAATTTGTTTTGTCAATAACGTAAACTATATTCCACACGTGCACATGGGTCTTAATGCACACGGGACCAACAAACGTCTCATCAAGACGGTGCGCTATTGTAACTTGCATTTCAGCCCTCTAACTGAAACACAAGGAGAGAAGCGATGGGAATTGAACCGGGGACCAGGAGATCCCCATGGTTCAGCGCACGCACAGTGGTTACCACCAGTTTAGCTGGTTGAGTTAGAAGCTGCTCTCATCGAACGTACGTATCCCTCTATCTGGATGCGCTTCAGACGATGTTATTTATACAACTTATTCACCTCACACGAACGAAAAACAACAAAGGCTCGATCATTTTTTGTGCCTATGCTGAATGGGTTGTGTTAATGTTTTGTTATTTTTTAGTAGATTTACTTGTTCAGGTTGGCCGTGTTACATTATATACCCCACAATTTATGGTTGGAAATTCAAGGATACAAACGGATACATTACGGATGCGGGTATGGACCTTTTTGTTTTTATAAACTGTTTTATAGGACGGAAATAATAACGTCATTATGAGGCATAAAAAATGGAGTTGATTTGAGATCAAAAATATTACTTTCACTTAGGCCTATTCATCTCTAATAAACTTCGAGTATAATATTGTATGAAATTCAATGTACAATAATTCGTTAATATTTAGCTATTTATATTTAAATATAAAGAATGGAGACGTACCCATCGCACCCCCACCCCACTGAGTTCTGATATGTTTCACACCAAAATGACCATACTCAAGTTATACCGGTACAATATAGTTCGATAAGTATAATGATTATCATTTTTACATTACTGTTCACAGAAAATAATGTCTACCCATCACCAAACTGCTACAAGTTTATAAGAGTGAACAGAAATTGGAGATCATGTATTGATGCGCAGCGTGAATGCGAAAAAGTGGGTGGAAATATCACCGTAATAAACAGCGTCAGCGAGTACCAACAGTTGACAAGTAACGTGCTATATATTCTTAGCGTCTTCGGTGATAGTACATTCAATGTTCATGTCCAAAACCTGCCACAGGGTACGGGATGTGCAACAATTACAGTACAGGATGAATTAATTCTTTCAAATAGTGTAACCATTACAAATACCGATTGCACCACAACTTGTATGGTAGACACTATCGTTTGCGAGTCCACAGGTAAGTATGGTAGGGAGGGATGGGAAAAGTTAAGAGATGCCGAGTTGCGTATAGCAAACGCTTCATTGTTCATGTTAGTATTAGAAAATATTAAACCTAATTTATTACTTACACTACAGGCTACATTTGTCAAAGACAAAACATGTTTTGTAAAAAACAAAACCATGTTTGTCTGTACAAAGCATGTTTTGTGAAGATAAAACAATGGTTGTCTGTCCAAAACATGTTTTGTAAAGGACAAAACCATGTTTGTCTATAGAAAACATGTGGATGTCAGAGAGTTATCAAAGTAGTGGGACATGGAAATTAGATTGGAATTAACAGTATCGAATAATGATTGGATATTTTGATCGAAATAAAAAAAACGTTAGTATCGATTGGCATAGAGAAAAAAAAATTAAGTACTGAAGAAGAAAGATAAAGGTCCTTGAGGTATAAAATAAATAAAGAACCGCGAGGAAATCCATAAGTTATTTAATTGAAATTTGAAACTGAATTACAATTTGGTACATTTTGCACGATTAAAGAGGCAACTTCTGAAGAACTTAAATGCGGGTCCAGGAATTCAGTAGTGAGATAGTTTATATAAAATAATATTGTGGTCGATTGTGTCAAAGAAACAACAAAATTCACACAATACTGACATAATAATGGTTTTTTTTTTCTAAATCATTTTATAGGCGTGCATACGGGAATATGTCCTGTGCAAGGAGCCACCAAAGCAATGCCAACTTCAACACAACCTGTACATGGATACACTTCAATTGGATTTCTGCATTCATCAAAGGGAACCCTGTCAGGAATGAAAGTGGGTCCTAACTTGTTGATTGTTGCTGTTGTAGCGTCAAGTGCCGTGGTCACAATCGCAATGATTTTACTAAGCTTCTTGCAAATCCGACGTAGGCAGAGAACAACAAAACCAGGGTAATAATGTTATCACAGTATTTTGTTATGACTTCAACCAGCCCTCTCATCATGAAGAGTGGTAGAATTTAGAAAAATTGGTGGTGCGCAAAATTTTAACGGGCGCATTCTATGCGTTGCCATTTCTTCTATTACTTATGGTGTCAGAAGCGACGCGGCAGACCCATGCCCTACAATTTAAATTTCATCTACGCGATACCTTTAATTGCAAAAAAAATGCAAACAATAGGCCTATATATATACTTGAATTATGAAGAAACAGAAACAATTCATCAAAACTAAAACTTACAAGATGGAATCTGTTATACAAAGATGTGTACACACTAAGTGTTCATGTGATAAAAAAATATCCTCTTATCTTAGTTCAATCTCCAGTTACAGTGTGTATAGTCATGGAGCTATAAAATTATTGTTATAATTTTGTACTCATATTCGAGTGCATGTTTGCCGTTGTGTTCAATTACTATTATTATTATTATTATTAATAAATTATTATTATTATTATTCTTAATAAATTATTATTATCCTTATCATTATCATTATTATTATTATTATTATTATTGTAATAACCTGTAAAAACTTTTAATTGATCTGTATTGTATTGTAATAATTCTTAATTATATATTATAGCTTGTTAGGTAACTAACAATATTTAATTTTTAACTGAATTTTCCAATTTTAATTATTTTAACAATGTAATTAATTATAAGTACATTTTTGTAGTTTCTCTATATAATAATTTGTAATCTGATTGTATAATGTTGCCTGTTTTTATTGTATTTTATCAATTTTTATGTGAAGCGTATTGAACAGTATTCTGAAAATGCGCTATATAAATTCATATTATTATTATTATTATTATTATTATTATTATTATTATTAATAACAATATAATAATCTGCGAACAAAAAGATCCTGCAGCTAGGCGTGTATTGAAGGGTGCTTCGCGATATGCGATTGAAAAAGAGAGCTTGAAAGAGAGATGGGAGCATTGTTGAACTGCCTGTAGTTCGGCACTTCGGTATTTATTATTGTAACGTTTTGAATAAAATCTACTAGTACATATTTTTTTTTAGCGTGGCGATAATATTTTAAGCGTGGTGCAATCAACTAAACGATTATGGTTTGATAACTTCTATGGTTGTCGTTATAACTATTCTGGGGCGAATCCAGAGATGTCCGAAAGGGGGCCGAAAGTGGGGCCGATCGGGACGCTACCTTGTCCGGGGGCGTACCCCAGCATGTTTTTGTTTTCTAGACGCCCAAAAATAACTTCTGACGCGAATTGGGCGATCAATTATTTCTTTTTTCTTTCTTCTTCCTTTTTTTTAAACCCCCCCAACAGGAGGGGCTGGGGCCGCCCCTGATTATGATCATGAATACAAATATCATTATTATTACCATTATCATTATCTTTGTCACAGTCTCTATCAGCGTCGTTATCGTTGTCGGTATTGCGGCATAGTCGTTGTTGTCATAATCGTTATCAATATCATTATTAAAATTATTATTATTATTATTATTATTATTATGAATATATACTACATTTTTTATAGTAGTATTGTCAATATATTGTCATTATTAATATTATTATTATTATTATTATCATAACTATTAATATTAAAGATATTTTTTTTTAATCAATACGAATTTATTTATTATTCATATCAAATTTACAATATTCCTTTTTCATAAAATTAGTGGTTTATTTAATATAGTACACCAAAATATCTAATAATAATATCAGTTATGTCCCACCACACATTTGTAATATATTTTGTAACATTAAAGAGCATTTCTGTTTTATAATTAAGGTTTAGAGCGCATACAGGGGCCGTGCTTTGTAAACGAAATTATTTTATTACTGTAATTATTGTAGGATTTACAGAATAAAAAATAAAAATAGTTCAATACATCCCCATAAAACCTAAGGAGTAATAAAGGTAATCTAGTAATTTCAAAACAACTAACTCTTTTACATTGGACACTACTCTAGGCGTTTTGTTGCTGGTCAAGCATAAGTACGTTGGCACTTTTTTTTTTTTACAGAAATGACAAACCTGTAGATAAAGGTGAATATCAGGACTATGTAGCTGAAGATGTACACGATTATGCGACACATAACTCTGTTGTCCAAAACCAGAAAACTACAGCTGACGAAGTTGTGTACCAAGATGTAAAAGATTACAGTGAATACCTGTACCACAATACCGCAGCAGTTGAGGTGGTGTACCACGATACCGTAGTTAAACAGTTGTATCACGATACTGGAGTTAAAGTGGCATACCATAATTCAGGTAAGCCTAAGCTCAAAAATGGGTCTGAGAACAGAATTTAAATGCAAGAATCATTTTACGTTGTTCTACTAACTAAAAATAAGATGCGAGATACTATATTGATAGTCTAGAATGAATGTAAATTAGAAAATCATCTTATTTTGTAAGAACACCGAGTTTGCCGAAACCCAGTTTGCCGAATTTTGTCGTCACCGCCATACGAAAGTACAGCATGCTGTGCTTTAGAATAATTATGGGAGGAACAAAAATAATGATTTGCCTTGATTTTTCCGCTGGTGCCACTACGGTATTTCGTACACATGCAGTCATGGAAAGATATCCATCGTGAATTCTACACTGTTTTAATGTTTCACTGCTTTTAATAGACTTTTGTCAAAGTGGGTTTCGGAAAACTGGGATTCATGATTTTTGAGTGGGCAAAACTAGGTGTCGGCAAAACTGGGTTTCGGCAAAGTGGACTCGGCAATCTGGCATTCGGCAAACTGGGTTTCGACAATCTGGAGTCAACAACCTCCCTAGAATTCAACATAAACAATTTTTTTGTTTTATGTTAAATAACTTAAATCACAATAATACAATTAATTTAACTTGGCACAAATGATGATTACAATTAACATCCCGTATGCAATAAGCTGTGCTAGGTCACCCTGTGCATGGGAACCTAAGTAATATGCTAGGAGAATGTGATGTGTAAGAATAAACAGTTAAAACATAACGAAAGATAAAAGTTAATAAAAATATAGCACATGCAAACACAAAACTGAATTGATGCTACAACTGGTACTATCGTTTGTGACTTGCAATATGGGTAGTCTTTTTGTAAATTCTAACCTAAAACGCTTGATACGGATCCTGATAAATGGCTGTCTCTTATACACATCTAGATGTGTATAAGAGACAGACATTAAACTCCTTCCGGTCGAAGCGTCGGCGACTAAACTGACAACCCTCTCAAATGTCTTAGTCGCTGCTGAGGGGAGGGTGTTTACGTTGACAGAAGTAAACGAACTGGAAACCGAAAAGGAATTGCACATGCCATAGTCGGTGGTCAGACTTCTCCAACATTAAGTCACAAAGACACAGACCGCCACCAGAAAGTGACCAGTTCACCGGACTGTGTCGAAAACAGTGTTCGCGATTCCGAGAGCCGAGGAAGAGGGAAAGGAAGTGAGTTTCACTTTAGCGATGATTACAATGAAATTAATGCATGTATGCCAAATGAGAACAAAGACGTAGAACCAAATTATTATCTGCAGATAATTGGTTGAAATCATCGGGATGTTTTGCCCATAGATGCCTGGTGGCTGAAAATGCAGCGTTTAATGATTTGAAATTACATTAACTGTAATTTAGTATAGTTTGCTGTAGAGCAATATTGACTGAATCGGAGCCATCTTATTTAGGTTGTGGTAGTATTTAGACTGTGGTTGATCTATCGGCTATTAATTGGACTGACCATTATAATCATTTCTACTTTTTATGACCAAAAGAAAAAGCACATTGGTGACATTTATTGTATTGAAACTTTTAGCAGATTAACCAATGAAAAATATTTACAATTATCTTGTATATTAGTTTTGTTTACTTAAGCTAAATAAAATTAAATGGATCACACCTAATTTCATAGACTATGTATGGCTGTGACCTTGTTAAACACACACCTTTTAATAATCGTTCACTTAAAAACGAATACACGAGTAAAATTTGAAAATTCAAATCAGATGCGAATGTGAAAATGTTAATATATATAAAATAATATTAATTACACAATTAAAGAAGACACAACAGAATAGAAAACCCAAAATTGTATTCACACACTTGTAACTGGCGATATTTAAAAAAAAATGGCATGTTTATCTAAAGATAGTAACCTTGATGTTCATATTTTCGGTACTAGGATAAAAAACTAGACTTAATTGCATCAAGCCATATCGCAAAATCTCAATATTCCATTATAAATAAATCATTAATAAATGGTAAGGTTCTAAACGATTGAAAAGTATCAATGACTACCCCTATATACAAAGGTAAAGCCCTAACAATAATTACAGACCAATCTCAGTGGTATGTAACAAGCCAAATTTGTTGAAAAAGAAGTCCAAGATCAAATTATTACAAACCATGTACCAATATGTTATGCTATTATATGCTCTCATCGTTTAATGGATCTTCTAATGGATGCTGGGGCGGATGCAGGATTTGGCGGAAGGGGTTGCATGAGAGTCCACATAGTGTTTGAACATTAAATTTGAGAATATGGACCTCTGGTGCCCGAAAATTGCACTCTCATACATTATAAATTTTACCGGTAATTAGCGATGGGAATTTAACCGGGGACCCTAGCGATCTCCACGGTTCAGTGCACACACAGTGGCTACCACCAGATTAGACGACTGAGCTGAGCTGCTCTTAACAATTACCGTATACAATACAACAATTATTTTTCTTAATACAATTTAGGGGAGTGTGATCGCACCGTCTGCAGCCCCACGTATCCCCAGGGATTCTATACCTAATACTTTGTTTAGCATATTGGTTTATTACTCAACGATACGATTTGCATGTATAGAGGTGAAAGGCCGAGAGACGTGAACGCTCATTTCTTGGCCCCTTGGCTGGAAGGAAGCAAAAGTGAAATGTCACCCCTAAATCAATCGGAATTGGCATACCACATGGTGGTGTCTTGGGTTCAATTTTATTTTTGTTATTCATAAATAATGACATTTAAAAATCAAACACTTTGAATGTTGTTACACTAATTGTAGTGCCATCTCTCTTTCATTGTGATTTCCATCTAGTGTTCGAATGACAATTGTTACAACAGGCATAGGGGCCTAGTCATGTATAAGTGACTATTTTAACAATTTTAAATTATTAATGTTCAGTATTACATGAAGATAAATACTATCAATCCAGATTTTTATTTATGCATTTGCTTTATTAGATTTAAGGGGGCGGAGCCGTTATAGATCGGGGAACCCTGGAGGTCGGGGGCCCAGGTTTAATGAATTTGCTGAACATGCGGTAGTTACGCCACTGGCATCAATCGACTGTCTGCAGTGTCGGTGCTTTGGCTGGTCTTGTTCCTTTTCAAATGATTCCCCCTCCCCACTTTAAAACTATGTACTTTATCAAGTATTTAACCTCTGGAGACATGACATTAAAATGTTCAACAAATCATTGTTTTAAAGGCTGAACTAGGACATTTGTATCCTAATTAGAATGTATGCAAATATTTTTTTTCTGGCAAGGGGTTTTCGAGATACAGTATGTCAAAAAACAATAAAAATAAAAGGAAATAGTGCCCACATTTTGGCCAAATTCCCCAAAAATCCCATTACCAAACTTTCCATTTTATTTCATGAGGTTGTTAAGCAGCAAATTTGCTTAACTTAGGATAGTTTTAAAATGTCATGAATTATTCATAATCATCCTTATAGAACGTATTTTGCGCATGCGCTGTTTTCAAGCCTGCGTCACCCTCAATGACCAGCACGGTTCTGTGCATCGCTCGTGAGCATAGCGAGTAACTGCAGCATAGTAACTCAGTGTTTGATTTTGATAGATTTTATAAGGATAGAACGACACATGGTGCTTTGTGGGTGTGTAGGCCTATCACGATTTAATCGTTGTATGAGTTTGAGCATGGAGTAAACTAATTCCTTCATGGTTTGAGATAGGTAGGCCTAGTTCCTATTTTAAGTTTTACAGAAATTCGGACAGTAGGCCTACCTATAATCAAGAATAAATTACCGTCTTTAGAAATGCATATGAGCCGGGATATGAAATGTTTACACTGAACAGCAAAACCTTAATAGCTGTCTCTTATACACATCTAGATGTGTATAAGAGACAGCTTTTACATTGGACACTACTCTAGGCGTTTTCTTGCTGGTCAAGCATAAGTACGTTGGCCCTTTTTTTTTTTTACAGAAATGACAACCCTGTAGAAATGAACTCATATGATGATGGGATAACATTTGAAATATCACACTGTGGTCACATGTCCTGTTCATATGCAAATTAGGTTTTAACCGCAGTGTTTTATTAAGTGATTTATAAAAATTTAAAAAAAGTGTAAAATGACAACCTCGGCTTGCCATAGCTTTTTGTGGTATTTGAAAGAACGCCACAATCGCGTGTGACGGTCTCTTTGCGGAAGCTTATATGAAATTATTGATAGGCCTTTAGGATAAAGGACATTAAACCATAAAACTCTCATGTACGTTCGACTTCACATGTATCCTAGTAGGCTTAAACAGAAGACTGCACTTACGATATCACACTCTTAGGGCCTTACATAGACGCAGTATGCGGCAATGGAAAACACGTATTTTGCTCCTCGCTTGGAAAATGACAGTGGTTGGAGCGCTGCAGTGTCCTTCGTAAGTTATTTTATCAATAATTTTTTTAGTACTTGTAGTATAGTTCGAAGTTCATCAAATAATACAACATATATAATCATAGGATTAGTTGGCTTAAATCCAACTAAATGTAAGGCAACTAAAATACTGAATGTTAATATTCATAAATAATATGTCCAACCAATTGCTTCTGCGTTGTATTTGATATGGCATACACTTATGAATAGATAGGCTAGGAGAAGAGTAGACAAGGAAGTAAAAACCATATAAAATAATAATGTGAGGGAAGTAGGCCTATTTTGTGGAGGATGACTTGAACGGAGAGGCTCTGAAGCCTGTAGGTCACTACAATCATATACGTAATTATGGAGAGGGGTAGATCCCGCTGACCCTTACTGGATCAGTCAAATGGCATTAATAAATCTACTCACTGACCCTTACTGGATCAGTCAAATGGCATTAAAAAATCTACTCACTGACCCTTACTAGATCAGTCAAATGGCATTCATAAATCTACTCACTTTACGCACCAACAACAAAAGTTGGACTTTATAGGGCTGCTAAAAAGCTTTCTGTTTTTTTTTGTTGTTTTTTTTAGTGGATTTACTTGTTCAGGTTCGTCATGTTACTTAATACACCCCACAAGTGATGGTTGGAAATACATTGATACAAACGGAGACAATAAGAGTGCGGGTATGAATTAGAAGTTATGACTTTTGCATATATAGAAATAAATGTTAGAATGCTCTACTCATTATGAGCTTCAAGAAAATATAGTTGGTTTTTGTAGGTTCTAATTTGAAAATAAATGTTTACTTAGGCCTATCTTCGCTTAATAATAAATCAAAAGTACATAAAATGTGTCAAATACGGTATACAATGAAATTTAAGCCTTATATTTACGGAAAAATCGATTTTGTTGCTACTTCATAATTTTATAGAATCCTACAAAAAACATGTTATTATGTAGATAATTTTAGATGTAGTTATGATGCATGATGATATGGTGCGTTTGAGAATAGCATTGTGGATAAAACAACGCGATTTAACCAGTATAAAGCGTTTAATACTGAGCTCATACAAGCACCGTTTTATTTATATCTGGATGTTCAAGAAAATGAACGAAATTGTTTTATAACTTTTTATTTTAAGTTCTCCATCATCTTAAAGTTGAGATAGGTAGATGGTAGATGGGAGATAAAAGAATATGTAAGTGTAAAAAAGGTGTGCCAGATGAGCAGCATATTTTATTGCTTTAAAATTTACCGAGGAAGTTACGGCTCAAATTAGAAATACTTACCGTAATGTTAATGAGGTCATGTTTGGAACTGTTCTTCCACAACAAATAATGTCTACATTGTTATGAAGGCAATGGAAATTTCCCAAATGTTAATCGTATTTATTTATGTTATCGAGTTTTTATGTTGGACTCTGTGGTCAATAAAGAATAATAATAATAATAATAATAGATACAATGGCCGTAATTTACGTCAATATTATTTACCAATGACGAGAGTAGTATGATGTAATGATTCTTGTTTTTACCTTAATTTTTACAGGAGACAATGTATATACATCACCAAACTGCTACAAATTTATAAAAGTGAACAAAACAGGCCAATCATGTATTGATGCTCAGCGTAAATGCGAACAAATAGGCGGTAACATCACCATAATAGACAGCATTGAGGAATACGAGCAGTTGACTGATAATGTGCTACATGTCCTTCACGTCTATACAGATAGTACATTCAATGTTCATGTCCAAAATCCCCCACTTGATGACGTACGTATGGGATGTGCAACAATTACAGTAGACGATGGAACCGGTTTTTCAAATACGGTACGCATTACAAATACCAATTGCACCACAAATAGTATGGTAGACACTGTCGTTTGCGAGT